CAAAATCTTATTTTCTATCCAGACGAACCTTCAGTATAATAATCTATATGCATACAAAGTTTATGAAAATACACATTCAAGCAGCATTTAATATGGTCTACCACCTGTAGGACACTCCCTTCAACTTAAAAATAAATTGTTTATTGGAATTTTTGATTAAACGTAAACTTTCTGTAAAATGTAAAATACTCGACTAATATACCAGTTGTAACATGTTTAACATCATATCTTTCCACGCGAATTAACAATAAATTGTTCATTCGATAAAACGGAAACATTTTTTATACTTGTAAAATAAATACCTATTGTAGAACCAGATATTTGATGTTAGTGAACCCATTTTTTCTAGGACACCTGTTTCAAACAAAATCTTATTTTCTATCCAGACGAACCTTCAGTATAATAATCTATATGCATACAAAGTTTATGAAAATACACATTCAAGCAGCATTTAATATGGTCTACCACCTGTAGGACACTCCCTTCAACTTAAAAATAAATTGTTTATTGGAATTTTCAATTAAACGTAAACTTTCTGTAAAATGTAAAATACTCGACTAATATACCAGTTGTAACATGTTTAACATCATATCTTTCCACGCGAATTAACAATAAATTGTTCATTCGATAAAACGGAAACATTTTTTATACTTGTAAAATAAATACCTATTGTGTATATGATACGTTGAAGTCTACCATGTAATACGGAAATTTGCAACACGTTTATAAGCACCATATCTTTCTACATGAACTAACAATAAATTGTCCATTGGATAAAAAGGAGACATTTTTTTTATATATATAACTGTAAAATAATATATGAATTATCGTTTTAACATCATATCTTTTGCCTCCCTTTTCAGGGATGGACACTCAAAAGGAGTATGGTAGTTTCGGGGGTCCCTAAACTAGTCAATGTTCTCGCGTAGTTATGAATTTATGTCGTTTTTGATGAATTATTAAGATATATGCATAAGCTAAAAACACCAGGATATACTCTAGAAAGTACCATTTAAATTACAGTCAGTTTTTTCAAAAGAAATTTCGAGCCTGGTTGTAGAGAACCCCGTCGTTCACCTCACGGAGCAAAGATAAGCCTGTCCTATCCTAGGTATCATATGTGTAATTTTATGTCAACTTCACAATTGTCAGTATAAATACAACATTTACTTGACAATTATCACAATTTTCATCTGGCCTTAAAACATTTTAATTGGATTTGTGTTCCTGGTGTTATAAGCTTTCCAAATATGTATAGTTTGTTTAATAGGGAGGACCTTGTAGCGGAACTGTGTTTCTAAGCAAGCTAAAAATTTTGGTTGCAGGCCTACTAGACTATACGACAAAAGTTGCCGGGCATAGAGGCGTTAATGTAAAAACGGACCACATTACCATTTCTGAACGAATAAGAGATCTTATTTTTATACGGCTTAAAATGGTGCAAAGGCATAGTAGATGAAATTAAAATGACTCACTATTTTGGTGAAATGTCTTGTGATCTGTGAGATACAAAATAATCAATTCCATATTATGCCCCATTGTATTGTTTATGGGGTGTGTGTGGGGGGGGGGGGGGTCGCATAGGATGTGTCATTTTTAGCAGTATCATTAACATCATTTTCTTCAGCATTATTTTTGAGTTTTTATTCATGTTCAGTGACTCTGAAAACCTTATAAAAGAGACATTATAAGCTATATAAAACAGTCATTCATGTTATGGAAATTCTGACCGCCATTTTGAATTTTCCCCATCTTGGATTTTTAAAACTCTTTGTTTAGATTAAACAAACATTGTGCAAGAGCTAAATCTGCCTATTGCAGGTCTTTCTTTAGGCCTGAAATGTTTTCTAAATTATTATTTAGACATTAATTAACTGACCCAGGCCATAATCAACGCTCGATGGCATCGGATTTCTCCGATATTAAATAAATTAGAACGTATCAGTCATATTTTGATTTAATCTAAAAATGGAGGAGCGAGACTTAGCTTCGAGCAACCAGTACAGTGGTTGAAATTATTGCACGTGTCTTGTCAAACCTTCAAAGGCTAATATCTTCGCTCGCAATAGAGTAATTTGAATGAAATTGTCAAATTATTCATTTTACATTATCTATTTTCGAACTATTGTAGCAAGAATGGCTAGCTCTTTATCTAAATCTTACGTAATGAATCTTTAATTGTAAGCTCATTGGATAGTACATGTCATATCAAACAATGAAATGACTATTATCTGACATATTGGTCATTTTAGGAAATTTTGTCGCCATTTTGAATTTCCGCCATCTTGGATCTGGGACACTCATGTTTGAGATTATTTTTTATGATCAATGTTTCTGATATCTATTCAATCACTTAAGTTGACCAAACAGATAATTTGGCTTATATGGGTCTGAACACGATTTGTTAGTAAACATACGAACAGACATGAAAAAAAAAATCGAAAATATTGCTTTTTTCAGATTAATCTTTTATTTTAAAACTGATAGTATTGATTAAACAACATATATCATATACCAGCAGATGCAGAATTATATTATGAACATTTTGAGATATATAACATATCCATATAGGTGAAACTGTTGGGGAGGTATGAAGGCTTCCCCGACTCGCACTATTTCAAATAAGAAAAAAAACGGCGGCCTTTTTTTTTAAAGATGGCCGCCAAACTGACATTTGGCAAAGTGACCCAGAAGTCCATCAACCAATTTTGGACACTTTAGACCTAAGGCTAACTGAAAATCATAGTTAAACCAATTCATCAAATTGGTAATGAATATCTGCCTGTCACATGGACTATATGTAACAAGATGCTGTCATCTTTATTTGCCGTGAATCAAATTGATGGGTCTGTTTCAAACCCGAATGAATCCAAGCCAGATGATTATCTAGCGTTGGTATTTTGATTTGTTGTTTTTAATTAAATGTTAAATAATCAGTCTTGGCAATACTATATACCGGAAAACACCGGAAAACAACTGGAAAACACCATTTTGTACTGAATACTGGAAAGCACCAGAAAAACACTAAATGCCGGAAAACACACTAAATACCGGAAAATACCCTAAATAGGTAACCCGAAGACTGGCACCCTAAATAGGTAACCGGGAGCCTGGTCCTCTGTGTGCCTCAGTTAAGGTTAGGGTTAGTTTCCGGTTTATAGTATAGCCCTTTTCCGGGTTACCTATTTAGGGTGGTTTCCGGTATTTAGTGTGTTTTCCGGTATTTAGTGTTTTTCCAGTGTTTTCTGGTATTCAGTATAAAATGGTGTTTTCCGGTAGTTTTCCGGTATATAGTATAGCCCATCAGTCTGAGTAGTGTGAATTAGGCCATGAGAAATTTGATATTTCATATGCAAATCATCCAAACATTACTTTATACTGTCATTAAATGATAGACAGATTGTATTAAAAATTGATTTTAGTAGCTGTCATAGTTATCTATTATTAGAATGTAGAAATAGATGGGTCATCTCCTTTAATTACAATAACACAACTACGTTAATACAGATCTTTTTTTATTTTTTATAACATTAGATTTATTTATATTTATATCTTAGGGATGCAACCATTTATACACACCATACAAATTAGTCCCAAACTCTGGTTATGATCATTTGAATTTGCTGGTACTATCATAAGCTAGCTTAGAAATCAAATCAGTCATAGATTAGGGTTTTTTTAACCATAACTCCTCTAGTACCTGTCATTTCGTCCAGATTCGTCTTTTAATTTTTATGGAAAACCCGGTCTGTAGAAACTTTAAAAAATTATGAACCATTGCGGATGTTCTAACATAAAAGTTTTTATGGACCCGTAGATTCATGGTCCCTATAAATACTTTATGGATCATCCCTTTAAACATCAGAAGAACACATCAATAAATGCTGTATTCTCCAGAGATAAAATCTCATGTCTAATTGGGATTCTATATGTTAAGGCTTATAACATGTCAATATCAAGGAAAACTACACAATTGTAAGATTATTATCAGGAGAGAAAAATGGGGTTTAATGTCCACTTGACAATAACGTCATTTTGGGACTAAAATGGTATAATCTTAATTCAATAATTTGCCTTTGTGCAAGAGTTGTATAGAAGTTGAATAAAACTACTCAAAGAGCAAACCCAAACAGGTTAGACAAGCAAGATAGAGAGAATTGTGCTTCATCATGGTTTTGGGACAATTTCTATTTCAATAATTTGCTTCCATGTACAGGTCTGAGAGGGACAAGGAGAAAAGCCATGTACAAACTGGGATTAAAACTATGAATTGATGTGCATAGATAAGAGGCCTTATGATCTACGGTGCACATATAAAGACCTACCCAACCAGAGTAACCTCAATGCTCACCAGATTCTACAAAGAGAGCCAGGACAATAACTAAAGAAGTAATTAATATTATATGGAATAGGTGAAATTTAATAGGCCTGTGTTTGATTCAGTAATTTGAACAATGCATATTAATTTCAAACAGATAGGATGACAATTGTTGAAATCCATTGTTATTCTTCCATCTCAATAACTTGAATAATGCATATAAATTTGGTCTCTTTGTTAACAATGAAAAATAATTTTTTAAAAAAGCAGGTTAAAATCTATGACAATATGAATATCTAACAATAATGACATGTTAATTCAGATAGATAAATTGTTTCATGTACCATAAATATATGTATATTGGAATAATTCACTTTTGAGTTTTTCTGGTCTATACCTCATTCTCACATGCTAAACATTTTTTAATCCAGTTGTTATTAGAGCTTAAATTTAAATCAATGATTTTTTCAATAACAACTTTTAAAATGGATGGCAGTTATTACAATTTAATTACATTGATTATCTTTTTTATAACAATTTCAGTTGATGATCTTTTTTTATAACAATTTAAATGTTAATATTACAATAAAAGTGATGATCTCTGGTTTTACAATTTATATTGATGACTGGCATTACAATTTAAATTGAAGATCTTTACAAATTAAAAATATAATTTCCTTACTTAATACTCTCCCAATGATAATTCCTCATCTCCAGACGGCGACACAGAACCATGCCACACCAGATCCCTAATCCGTTACATAGCAACACATCTAATATCCATGAATCCCACCAACATTCAGCAAAATTTGGCAACAAATGAGCATATGCTGCCTGAAAATAACAGAACAAGTATTATTTCAGATTTATAGCAACTGTATAAAAAAAATTTCAAATATATAATTTCCGTTATCTGTTTATTTTTGCATATCAATTGAGTTCATTGAATTAATAATAGTAAACATTTTATAGGAAATAAATAAAATGAAATTTTATCTTAACCAAAAACTATGGTACCTAAAATCAAATATATCAATTATTAGTGTGATCACTAGAAATTGATCAAATGGAAAATTAGCATGCATTGAGGTATGAAACCTCATTATAAGTGAGATTTCAGTGACTGGATGTCAGTGAACACTCTTGTAGAAGTCTGTAATGTTTTACCTATTGTCAGTGTATGTGATGTCATTTGTCTCTCAACACAAACAGAGCAACTAAACGAAACAAGTCTAGTAAAATTTAACATTCATGGTTTATCTTTAAACTCACCTCCGTTAACTCCCACATAATACTAATTGTCCATAATATCCCATAATGCCGTATTAATATAGCTTTCAACGTCCAGCCCAAAAAATGTGACACAGCGAAAACATCTAAACCTGAGTAAAGTCTGCCCCATGTTATCTGGGAACAATTTACAGCATATTCCTGAAATTAGAAATGAGAAAATAAACATATGTATCAATTCCTTTTAAAACACCTCTTTGGCTTAACCAGCCCTAAATAAATCAGTAAACCTGATTTCCTGCAGGTTACTCACAACAAATACATGTAGATTTTCAGAGAATGTCTCCTTTAAAGCAGTAATCCGCTTAATTGACCTTCAATCATACAAACTTATACATATGCATATTAATTTAGAAGCAGTAATAAGCTTAATTGACCTTCAATCATGCCAACTTATAAATATGCAAATTAATTTAGAAACTTGTGTAGTTTATGTTTCGTAACATAAAACAATAGATTTAGTTTATTTTTCAATGATGTCATTAAATGTAAGCAAATACTATTTTTGATGCAAACCAGCTGCAGATTTCAAATGCTTATTGAGAAGATGTGGAAGGCTTTCAGATAAACTGTAAATGGTCATACTATATATTTTCTAAATTCTATACAAAGATTGGACATGATTAGAGTTATATAGATTAAAAAAGATTATGCTATTTTAAGTCTTACATGTATATATATAAATATACATGTATCTATACATTGTAACAGATTGTATGATGATGAGATTGATATTAATATATATTCTAAATTTACAACACAGTTCAACATATGGTACAAAATATTTCAATTCCATTAACATTAATTTCGTTCTGGCCCACTTAACAGCACAACTACCACAATAACTATCTCTGCTTCACCTTTCACTACTGACTTCATTCAAACAATGTCTTAAAAGTTAAAATCCTACCTTGGTATCAGGACCAGAGTCTCGTAGATCATGGAACAACCAGATCATCATTTGTCGTACAGCCTGACGACTTTGAAACAATATAAATAATAACATCATAAAATATAAAACACTCACACCTGAAATAAAAAATAAAATAAGAATCCATGAGGCTTGTCTGTTACCCAACCCAGCGCTCATTTTAGTTACTCTAGGACTAACACAACTATTTCAGTAAATAGGAGAAGCAATGACTTCTGTTCAGGATTGGATTGATGAAGTGTCCGACAAAGGATTGAGTCAGTCAATCAAGGCAGATTATCTTGTTAATCAAGGTAGGTGTATAGACAGTATAATACGATAAATACGTTGACCACTTAATTAACTAATGAATCCAGCCTATTATCAACGACACTATATAAATTTTGGAATTTGGAATATCTTTCACCTTATCTTGATGTCCGATTGAGCATATTCCTGGTCGGACAATTTAGGACGTTCGGAAAATAGCGTCAGACATGTCCAGAATATACGGACGAAATCCCATCACTGTGCATAAAGGTCTTTAACAGAGAGAGGAAAACAAAGGACAAAAACGAAAATCCACAAGGCTAAGCTGGCGACGCAAATATATGAACAAGTCTGGGCTAAAAAAGACATGCCACATGACTCAATAATAGACCCTATGATCTAAAGTTATATTGATTGTTTTACGCCACCACTGTTACACTACACGTAAAAAGAAATGTGACTGACAGACAAACAAGGTGAATGCAGTATATGATTACATCAAAATGAAGACGTACAAAAATAAGGACAAAAAAGTGTGGTTTTTTTAAGACAACAATTTAGACAATTAGAACAAAAACAGTAAGCTAGATACTAACAAATCCTCACTGTTTACTGATAGAAATTAAAAAAAAAGATGGTGGCATCAAATCAGAAAAAAAAAAGATGGTGGCATCAAATCAGAAAAAAAAAAGATGGTGGCATCAAATCAGAAAAATAAAAGATAACGTTTTGACCAGTACACTTTTTGGTAACAATTGGGTTTTTTGTTGTCGTTTCTTATGGACTACCAGGCCTTTTAATTTTTCCCTTAAACTGTCCAATTTTGAACAAAAAGTGGGTTTTATCTAAACACTAGTTTAATACACAGAATCATTGTAAATAAAAATCTTACTAAGTAAATCAAAAGGTCATCAAATTCAATTAATTTGAATTTTCTTTGTTAAATATTAATTGATATGATAGAAGCGATGTTCAATATATAACCAACTTTTAAAAGAATCAATGGACTGCAGAATATCAGCGTTTCCCAAGTAACACTGGAGTAATGCATGCCCCAAGAGAGCAAGTCAGGGTCAGTCATAGCTCTTATTTAATTTACTGGGAGCTTGTAACTGTAAGACAATTCTATAAATATAATTTGATTTTCCGTGGGTATTGCTTCACACACTTTCCGATAAAACAGATGCCCCAATTATAATCAAGGGAACATATCGTTAAGCTGGAAGGGGGATCTAGAGCCACTTTCCCAAGAATTAAACTTGTATATCATTCATTAATTTGTATCATGTCTAACTCAAGTGTACGGCTACTCTAGCTGCTGCTATTCATTCAGGCGAGTTCAGATGAGGACAAAAAGTGATAACTCTTGTTTTACGACAAGGTCTGGATATCCATATTTGCTTTCCTGAGATGTATTTACTTTCCTTCCCTGGGGCTACTCCCATTTAACTGACTGAATCCTTCCCATCAATATGGTATTTCTATTAACTTTTATTAAAGGATGACTCTTTATGTTTATTCTAGCATTCATTAGTCAACACTGTTTGAACATCAGCTGGATTGATAGAAGATTTTCAGCAAGAAAAAATATTGACATGGTTGAAATCTATTGCTTCAAGGGTTTATCCTTTTGTACTGATAATAATTGGTAATATTGAAAATCTTTTATCTTGTAGTCTCTATCACAAAATGGGGTGGGGGCATTGTAGTCTCTATTATAAGGACTGTAATGTACATGGTTATGCTTTGGATGAATATAGTTACATTTGTAGTCTTTTAAACATGCATTATGCAAGAGCTGAATCTGCCTATTGCAGGTCTTTCTTTAGGCCTAAAATGTTATCTTAACTATTAATTAGACATTAATTAACCTATCCAGACCATAATCATTTCTAGATGGCATCGCTAGCCTGCGATCTTTTGTGGATTATGAGCCGATTTACTGCATAACTTTCCTTCACGATTTAACGATTAAATGGATAATCGAGACTATGCTGTTTATCGTACTGACTTTAGTAATGATGATCAAGGCAAGCCGGAAATTTCAAACGCTTAGTTCTCGGTTCATAGTGGATCAATTTGAATGAAATTTTCAGCAAATTGACTTTACATTATCTAGCTTTAACTATTATAGTGAGAACTGCCAACTCATTATAGAATCTCCCATAATGTATCTTTAAGTAATCTTGATTTCTAATTTTACTATTGAAATCTTCTAAGTCATTATTTGATTGCCATTTGAATATTCGATTCAACTAAAATGATAATATAATATTTGGACAGTTCTAGCAGATAAATAGCACTTCAATCTTATATTCTTATAGTTGTAATTATTTTGAATAACAAATACCAAAAAATCAATTCAAATAGCCATGAGAAATTTTTTGAATTTGAGAACTAATGGATAACAATGACTGAATTTATTTAAGCTACTGTATTAATTATTCAAGGATTTATCATGCCCTTTATTCAGTGGTTCTATCATTCCACCATTGTGTAGCCTCATTACTAAATATGGCCACGTATGACTTGCATTATACGGTGGAGTTCATGGAACCTACCGAGGAATCTTGGGTACCGTATGTCCCATAAACAAATTCTGGGTTAATGTCTGACAGATTCCTGTTTGTTTTTGTTAAATTGAACCACACTATAATTTTTACCATATATACTGGCAGTCAGTTTTGTACATTAGATCAACTCAATTTAACACTTCATTTTCAAAAGTTTTGGCTCCTTATGATTTTATCTGAGTCTGTGTACAAAATAAGTTATCTACTCACCAAATACCATTCTCCATATTGCAGGATGTGGCCTTGTAAAAGGACCTGAAAAATAAATAAAATATATAACATACACAAGTATGTTGAGGATCATACATCAGTGTGTATCCTTTACTGGTCTTAAAAGATGTGGTATAAGCTGAGGACCTTAAAGGAGCTAAATCGCTAATATTTTGGACCTAGAAATTGGCACAAATGGGTCGCAACACATATAATAATGTAATATGAATTTATATAAACTGTTTTACATTCAATTGTGTCCGTTTTACCGTGAATCTTCATCAGTTATGTTCGGCGAAATACGCCAATTCTCAACCGCAAGTCAGTTTCTAGCGTCTGGTTATTCCAGTCAACACCGATATTATTTATTGCGCATGCTCTCCAAATAAGAATATGATATCACCGTTTGACATGTCTTGTGGAATATGTCTAGCCTCATTCTTTGAGCACCTTGTTACAAATGGCGCGGAAATGCATTATGGTACACGATTCGTGTTCCAATGGTAAAATGTTTATTTTGTCTTAAATATTGGATATCAGAGGCTTATCTTTTCCAGGTAAGATCACAACACCAACGCTGATTTAAATTGCAATACAAATCGTGTTTTCAATGTTGAAGATTTTAGATGATATTGAGTTACGGACCTAGCTACTTTATCTTGGGTGTACTATAATCTGAGGAGTGAGGATAAACTATAATCTGAGGAGTGAGGATAAACTATAATCTGAGGAGTGAAGATAAACTATAAGTCTTGCTATATGATGTTATGTAATCTGAGGATCCTAAAATCAGCATTATAGCTCTTATAGTGTATAAATTAAAGGATCTCACTATTATAAAGGGGGCAGGGGTAATACTGTAATCTGGGGAAACCAACATCAGTGTTAAGTGAAGTTGTACTTTATTGCTAATAGAAATTTCTGTATCTATACTTGGATTGCATAAATACTATTACCTTATTACACGCTAAAAGTGTTGAACTTAGGGGAGTCAAAAGGGGCTAAACAAATTTTTCCAAAATATTTCTAATGCCTTGGAATATGTCATTAGGTAACAAAGTCGGTCCAAACTTAAGATTCCTGATCCTGATATTTCAAAATCAATTTTATTATCATTTTACTGCAATTGACTTTATAAGAATGTAATGTATTTGTCTTTATAGCTAATATGTATATTTGACTTAATTGGATTGTCATATACTTGATTCAATAGCACAGTAAGATACCTATTTAATAGGATTGTAATATTGATATAATAGGATTAACTTTAGGGCTGAAATGTTTTTAACTTTTTTAATATTAATATAGATGTACATGGAGTGGGGTAATGTATAGACTTTATAGAAATGAAATGAAATGGGAGTTTAGCACACGGCTTATTTGACTTTGTACGACTGTAAGTACTTGAGTGATAAAATGTCAAGCAAATATAAAATAAATCTTTTCAAGTGTGTCTGATTAACATTTATTGAACTTCTTCACGAGAATAGGCTATGAAGAAGTTTCTGTTACTCGGAAGATTATAATAATCTTCTATTTAATAAAACAATTGTCTACAAATATGTTCTCTATAAATAAGTTCAATAACTTTTTTGACAAATGTTTCTCCCCAGGTTCTGTGTTGAGTGGACATTAAACCACATTGACGTGTTGTGAATCCTGCTCCACCGTGTCAATATAAAGATGACCTCTCTGTGACATGAGTAAGATGATACAAGTTTAATGAATAATGATATCAATGCTACTTGAGTAAACGCCCTTCATGTTATATTATTGATTGGTGGCAACATGTTTGGCCCTTGTAACATGAACAATACTATTCTATAATAATACATCCTTGCTACACACATTAGGCTCTCATAAATTATTAACTGCTTTACACCTAAATAAACCTTAGTTTATGTCTGATGAACAGTTTTAGGTACCGGTGTAATGTATAAAGTTACAGACAGCAAGAAGTTGTGTTAAAAATACTCTCAACTAGATCATTTTGGAACTAACATATAGTTGACCTGTATCTTTATTTCATTAATTCACTTGCAAGCACAGATCTTTAGTAGAAATGGGAGTCAACTGGAGTACTTCGGTAGGGGAAGGGGGGGGGGAAACGGACAAGGGCAGACGACCCTAATCCCTGTCATTTACATATACTGGTAAGCCTGAGATCCAAGCTACATGAACTGCACAGACAACAACTTGAAGCCTTATGATCTACAGTATACATGTTAGACTACCCTGCCCATTAAAGGTCAACATGGCAGTGTTATCATTTCTAATGTGAGATACAGTGCTCATGCGATATATCGCAATTCACCTTCTCACAATTTGTGTATTGAATCGTGAGACACTGAATCGATGTATCGCTATTGTTTGTTCTGTCCCTTTAGTAAGTAACATGTCCATGTCACACATTATCCATAGGTACACTAACACCCTTAAATTGTTGTGGTCCTTATTTTGATTCACATCAATATCATGATATAAAACAGTTTTATTTCTTCAATATCGGCAGGGCTAAATATATCAGTTATTCATTTCTTAGTAAATATTGACCTGACTATGAATCGTGATACAAATCGTATCGTAGCACCAGAATTGCAATACGTATCGTATCGTGGCTGCAGTGGCAATACCCAGCACTAATATGAGACCACTCGGCTACCCAACAGTCCCCACAGATATACACTGTCAATAGTAAAGATTCTCAAGTGGCAGAAATAGGATGTGAATACTGTGATGATATACTTTTAATTGTGATATATCGGCTATCAAAGGTCATGGTTTAAAATGACAGCTTCGACATTACAGTATATAAATTGGTCACATGAACACTATTTTAATAGGCGACTTTCAACGAGCAATGCTGAATTCCAATACTGCACTTAGCCAAAAAATTAAAAAAATTTGACCCATAGTTCACAGTTCCAGGACTTAATGAAGTACTTTCCTTATGCCTAGGAAAATAATTCAAGCACGTTTGAAATAAAAATCTTAAAATCTCTTATATAGTATTGAGCATATAAAAGGTTTCAGTGATAGTAACCTGACAAAAAATTGTTGCACAATCTGAATTTCAATAAGTTTTATTTTGGGTGATGTACTATGTGTATTTGTACATCGACATCTAATCATCAAAGCCTGTTCTCTAGAGACAGAGAGAGAAAAATGGGGTTTAACGTCCACTCAACACAAACTAGGTCATTTCGGGACTAACACATGGTTCAATTTTATTTCAATAATTCGCTTGCGCATAGGGGTCTTTAGCAGTGGGAGGAAACCGGAGGACCTGGAGAAAACCCACAAGGTTGGACAGGCGACCCTACTCCTTATCGCGTACAACCGGGGAATCGAAACTCTGCCAGTTGACTCAATGACAGACCCTATGATACAGCGCGCGCGTGCTAACCCCCCACCTGTTCTGTAAGCAATAGCGGACATGTATTGATTTAGAGGGATTTTAGTTCATTATTGAAACTACAAACCCAAGAAACAGCGATTCTGATGAGTTTACATGTCTCATACAAACAAAAATATGATAGAACACGATTAAGAAATAAAGTAAGTCAATGATACTGATAGCCTGACAAAAATTCAGAAAATGTAATGTAATGGAAACAGAAATGATGTGCAGCAGGATAATTAAAGAAGCTAAATCGCTAATATTTGGGACCTAGAAATTGACACAAATGGGTCTCAAATGTATATAATAATGTAATATGATTGTATATAAACTGATTTACATTCAATCGTCTCTGTTTTCAATGTAATTTCTAATCAGTCATGACAATCTCTAGCGTCTGGTTATTCAAGTCTACATCAATAGTACTTAATGCACACGCTCTCCAGATAAGAATATGGCGTCACCATTAGTCATGACTTGTGGAATATGTCTAGCCTGGTTCTTCGAGTCCCGTGTTACAAATGGCGCTGAAACACATTATGCAACACGATTCATCTACCAATGGTAAAATGTTTATTTTGTCTTAAATATTGGATATCAGAAGCCCATCTTTTCCCGGTAAGATCACAAGAGCAATGTTGATTTAAATTGACAAATAATTTGTGTTTTCAATGTCGAAGACTTTGGATGATATTGAGTTAGGGACTTAGCTACTTTAAACAAAAATAATATTTTTTTACTCACCGTTAGGAAAAGCTAAAACACTGATAATAAGAAAGAAAAAGACAACTGAACACAATCCTGCTTGAATATTGTCATTGTGAGAATTATCATTCCTGAAAAATAAAAATTGAATAAGACATGAATGGAGATCATAATTTGGTTATTATATTTATTGTTAATTTCACAGATGCTTGGGTTGTACATGGGACTTTCCGGAAGGTAGACAACCCACAAAGATTTCAAAAAGATTGGATGGTAATTGCAGTCACAAAGACTGCAAACTAGTGCAAACAAAACAAACTTTATAAGAAAATTTATTAAACAGGGCTATAATTCTGGAAGTGATAAGTCACAAACCATTTCATTTCGTCTTTGAGTAACAAAGACAAACCAACAATGATCACATCATGTTAGATACAGTGGCCTAAATAATGCTATAAATTAGCCCAATCTGTGCAAAACAGGGCCCTTATTCACAAAAACTTAAACTAAGATAAAATCGAAATTTTAAGAAATACTGCAACTTCATTGGATATATGCAAATTGATTTTACTGGTCAGCCAATCGAATAGCAGTATTTCTTAAAATTTTGATTTTATCTTAGTTTAAGTTTTCGTGAATAAGGGCCCAGTATTTTAATAATGCTTTAAAGGTAATGCTGGTTACCTATGACACATATATATCATGTACAGGGTTTTTCTACTAACACATCATATTATTATCACAGTTGCAGTCAATTACAGTTCTGTTGACAATTTTGGGTACAGTAACTTTGACACGGTGTCAATGTTACCACATTCAGGTTCATCTTTAAGTCAGGCTGAAAGTGTATATTTCTTCAATATGAGTCTTAATTCATAAGTGTTATTAAATCATATCCGACATTGATCTTCGAAGGAATTATTAGTGAGCAGAAATTCGCCCTTATATCCGTTATCACTCGTCACATCAGTCAGTTATATAGAGAGATGACTCGTGTTTTCCTTTGGCGTTTGTCACTTCTGATTCAGGAAACCTGCATTACTCAGCTATCGTAGCAATGATCTCTGTGTTAAAATTATATTTGGAATGTGTTTAACCAGCTATATCACATATGTGATAATGACTGGCACCAATATTGTCCTTTAAGACACAATGAACATTTTATAATCATTATACAAGTTGTGTATTCTATGGTTCGGACGCCATTTGTAATGGACAAAGAAAAATATAACCTACATAATGGTTGATTCACAAACGACAAAGTAATAATAAAAAAAAAACATGTAGAATGGAATAACCTGGCTCAAATGACTGTCGTTCAATTTGGACTGTTCGGGTATTTCACTGTACATAACTGATTAAAAATTACAATAATTTTTAAAATTTGAATATAAATCATTGTACATGTATACATTCATATTACATTAATACATGTATATACTTTTAGACCCATTTTCATCTATGTTAATGTTCCAAAGAATAGAGTCACACTCCCTTTAATGTTATCATTGTCGCACAAAGTACTGTCTGATTCATCGTAAATTTTAAACGTATTTCTTCGATTATGAACAAACTACTTAACTTTGGTTATTATAAACTTACCTGTGTGTTTGTAATGAACTCCCGTTCGATAAAATCCATTGCACAACTAATTATCACAACGATGAGAACAAGTTCTCTCTTGAAAAATTTGAAAATTTACTTGTAATTTCGACAGAGTCGATGTCAACAATGTCTTCGTGACGTATTGGTCGAATCCAATATACCTGTTGCGGGGGTTGGTTAACATTGAAAGATAGTTTGACAGCGCGATCATTTTGATCGTATATGGGTTTGGGCGACGAAAAATATCAATTGAAGGCAATTACATAGGAGATTTATATGGAAACCATTGATCGCCAGTCTATCAAATTTTCTTCACAATTAAAATATCACTGATTGCACGGATACTCGTAAAAATAAAGTCATGAATAAACTATAAATATCCTATCTTCTTTATGTTATAAATAATTTAACAAGGATCATGAAGCTTACCTCCGAATTCTCTGAGTGTATTTTTAATTTTATACGCATTCTTTCGATCGAATAATAACCGCTTCAGTAACATCTTTAAGCGTGTTGCGGCAGCCCTCAGCGTGTCTATTGCCGTATTGGGTGCCCGGGTGGGTATATAATGCTACTAAGCCCGTATGACCCCGTAAGAAGCGGAACATTAATTCTCGATTCGACAGTTTTGACCGAAGTGTGATAAAGCCCGTAAAACGAATGTATAGTTGTGTTTGTGTGGCATGCGTGTTCAAAAGTAAATAATCCCATCCGAGTCGCTAATCAAATAATTAGAACAAAATATTTCAAAAAGTAAAGCTATAAAATTTGCAGAGATTTTACTAGAATGTAAAAGACGGTAACTAAATACAGGAATGCGGGTAGTTATGTGTGCGAACGCTCAAACTCAATGCCAATTGTCGTAGGTATCCAGACCACTCGGACCAAAGACTACTCGGACTAAGACCAGTCGGACCAAAACAAGACCAGTCGGACCAATTAAATTATATTATAAGGCTAGACAATATGCTATTTATTTATTATTAAATCACAATACAAAGAAGCAAATAATTCTTATACGGAATTCTTATATTTAGAGTTGTTTGGTTCAATTTTGTGTACGTAAATAAATCAACGATTAGTTTTAAAATTAATTAATAATGGTGCCAAAAAAAAATATCAATCTAATTTTTCTTTACTCTTGCAATGAGACTCGGTATGTCCAGACTTTTGACAGTTTCTACATATACGGGTATACTGTTCTTGTCTGATAGCCTAATTTTACTTTTTCCACATTCGCGGTATCCCCAGTGGTTTCATTCCATTCTACCCCACTAACCCCTGGGTTACTATATATGGGGGGGGGGGGGGGGTGGAGACACGTTTTCAAGTTATCCGCCCTTGATGCGTTAATATAAACAGCACATAATAATACGAAGACCGGACGTTTATATGCCCCTTTTTAAACGTGACTACAAGTGTGGTTCTCGATATTTTGCGATTTGGAATACAATTATCAATTTATTCAAACAACACGTTATTATTAGTTCGAGTAGTCATATTAAAACACACACAATTATCAATTTATTCAAATAACACTTTATTATTGGTTCGAGAAGTCATATTAAAATAAACACAATTATCAATTTATTAAAATAACACTTTATTATTGGTTCGAGTAATTATATTAAAACAAACGTAATTATCAATTTATTAAAACAACATTTTATTATTGGTCCGAGTCGTCTTTCTGTTGGGTCCGAATAGTCTTTTTGTATGGTCCGAGTAGTCTATTTGTTTGGGCTGAGTGGTCTATCACTTGGTCCGAAAGGTCTTGAACCGAGTGATCTTTGGTCCGAGTGGTCATGGATTCTTGTCGTAATTGTACTTGCATTTCCTATGCTGTCACCCCTAATACGAAATGATATCTTCTGCAGAGTGACGTAACCATCTTCCATATTGGTATTTTTCTCTGGGAAAAGTTTGTGATATTTCAATTTTTCAAGAGAGAACTTGTTTTCATCGTTGTGATAATTAGTTGTGCAATGGATTTTATCGAACGGGAGTTCATTACAAACACACAGGTAAGTTTATAATAACCAACGTTAAGTAGTTTGTTCATAATCGAAGAAATCCGTTTAAAATTTACGATGAATCAGACAGTAGTAGCTTTTTTTCATAATCATGCGTTATAGACATATAGTTAATCGGAAGAAAAATTGTTATGAAATCTGGTGATATGATGTCATCGTCTAACCGATTCATTCGATGAAATATATAAAAAAAAATTCAGATTCACAGAGACGAAACAAGAAGAGAATAGAATAAAGAGAATAAAAATCTCGGAGAAATGACCTTTAAATTTTTCGGAAAATGTTTCACATCTTACCTTGTAAATGCAGTATATACGAGACCTAAAATTGAAATGGCCAAAAGAGTTATTGTATGCGGTTTGTAAAAAAAATCCAAAGAAATGGCATCTACACTTCGTTCGTTTATAACACGAAAATATTCCAGTTCTTCAGCAATCACGTTGTCTTTTTTACGAGTAGCCATGTTCACGACCTTCTATACCTCTAACGCAGAAAAATCAACTAAGGGACGGTACCGTTATATAATTAATGCGAAGCCGAGAACAGCACGTCTCTTTTTACCGTTAAATTGTCAATACCGTTATGAATTCTTGATCTTCCAGTGTGAAAAGACGTCGTCTGCTATATCTTTAGAATTTAATTAGCCGGGCATCTGTCGACCCCGGATTATTTATAGCTGATAATTAAAACCACGTTAATTAGTTCGATTTTCTGTTTGGTTGTGTTACTGGAATAACGAAGCTATTCATTTAGATGTTGACTGAGTTTGTGTTATGATTATCAAAGGAGATGGTGCGGATTCCGCTAGACTTTAGCGCACTTGTATTGTAATTAAAAATGCCGCGCCCATGCCTAGCCATGTGCAATACCCCAACTCCATTTCATATGATATAACTAATCGACCACCAATTTTAATTCAAAGTTAATGGTGACTGTGCAGGTTTTTGTTATAACATTTGTCATAAATTGTCAAAGTTTATGTCTGATGCAATTTGTCGGAATATTATATCGTCCACTAAAGCGTCATAAGAAGATAACTATAGCCTAGCCGTTTTACTAAGCTTTAGTAAAAAATGTAGTCTACTATTTCAGTATACAGATTGTTGTTATTGTCATGTAATTAAGAACAACATGGTATAGCCTATATTATCTATAAACAACCTTCGTGAAGAATGTACAGGCTTGTACTAAAAAGATTGAATTATTATTACCGGTACTTTTGTTTAAGACTTAAAGATATGGCGTTTGTGAAATCAACGTAAACTTTAACTAACTTGGAACTGGTCGATTTGAATAAATTTTGGATCAAAATGTTTATTAATAAAAGTAGTTTTGATCGTGTACATCTTTAGCCGTTATTCTGGAATGTTGGAGCTTTGAATTTAACAAAGGTGTTCTTCCGACAGTAATTTAAATGATTAAAACAAAATACGATGGATGCTGCCTTGGCCTCGATGTCAGACATCGACAGGCGATTACAGAGAGAGGGAGAGGGAGAGAGAGAGAGAGAGAGAGAGAGAGAAATGGGGTTTAACGTCCACTCGACATAAACTAGATCATTTCGGGACTAACATTTAGTACAATTATATTTCAATAATTAGCTTGCGCGTATGGGTCTTTAGCAGTTGGAGAAAAACCAGCGAGGTTGAACAGACAACCCTGTATACTCCTTGTCACGACCGGGGAATCGAAATCACGCCGATTCACTCAATGACAGACCTTATGATACAACGTACACGCGCTAACCACCCACCAACGATTATAAGAAATTAAAGATGGTGGTATGATTTTAATAGAAAATAATGTGCTCTTTAGCTGGCTTTAATTTCCGTTAAGATGGACAATTCTTGTTGTTTATTGTATTGGACGATAAAATTTGTCTTATATCATAGACTGTAGCCTACCGAGAGTGTAGAAATCGGATCTTCGGTGGAATTTTCTACATTGACATCACAAATGTACATTTATTAACGTGGCTTGATTCAGACCAGTGAAAAACAGGCCATCTCCTTAGCATCGAAAGCTCGTCTTTTGTCAGTTTAATACAAAAATCAAAAAACGGCACACTTTCGATGAAGTATGAACGAGAAATCCCACCATTGAGCAAAATGCAGTCTTTACCATGGAACGATACACTGGGGACGTATAATACAGGCATATATTTTTCAACTTTGTAATTCTATATAGGCTAGGTTTAGCGTGAATAAATTGATACAACATGACAGCACAACCTTCATAAATAATGTTAAGCTCAATAAACAGTAAACAAATACTTTAAAGTGACTTCTCGAAGACTCCAACCTCACAGAATCAATTTATCTTTACGCCAATATCGAATGCTTTACATCGTTGACTTAAATCTAAGAAATTACCCCCAAACCCACATCTGAAAACATCAATAACCGGCGGTTAAAATATACATTGTCTCATTACTTTATATTTTGCTTTGATTTACCATCCTAGCAAAATGATTTTACTTTTTCATTCATTATTTATCATCAAAGGAAAATGTTTTTATTTTGTATTAATTTAGAATCAGAGGAAAATGTCTTTATCTTAGCATTCATGTATCATCTGAGCTAAATATTTTAAAATAATAGTTTAGGCCCAGGTAGGAATGGTTACAACTTTAATAGTAAGTGCAGGAGGACCGCAAAACGCAAAACAAAAACGACAAAACAAAGATCTCATGTAGCTTTGGATACAGGTCAGAATATTCATACGAGACCCCCTTGATAACAGACGGTCTGTAAATTTTAATTTCAATCGCTGCATAAAAACGCAATAAAAAGGAAAATGATGCGATTTTAGTTGGGTGGGGGTATAATGGGACGAAGGAGCTTGTACCGTGAATGTTTTTCAATAAACAAATGTGCAGATTGTTTCAATTCATGAAAACAAAGGTTTATCAAAAGAAAAATAGATCTATAACAAGAGACGCGCCCTTAATCACTAGTCTATTTCTTTGATATCACCATATAAATGCGCAAAACAGACGCAAATGATAGATATGTGACAGCTTGTTAATGTTGGTATATTTATTATCTAATAAATGTATGTTTGTATTGCATTGTTACTATTCGGACCGTATAGCCCCAGGGGGCCCCTTATGGGTTCGAGTTACGCCACGTAATGGTAACATTTAGTAGTATCCCCAAAGGGCGCCTTATGGGGTTATATATTATTAATGTCAATGTTACCTGTATAAGGGGAGGGTGTGCCTCATCATTACTGATTAATGTATTCACCTTTTGCCTATTGTAAATAATCTATATGTTGTCCAAAGGGGGTCGTTAGATTATTGACACGACAATATGGATATAATCATAGTTCGAAGAAAGACAAACCATCGTTGTGCTATACATGTCATATACATTTCATAAGATTATATAATAAATCAGTGGCGGATCCCTAGCTGTCGTGGGGACCACACGTCTTGTTAAATCTACAGGTATAGTGTATACGAAATAGCTAAATAAATAAAACAAACCAGAAATATTATTTGTAAATATACAAATATACGAATCTAAATATGTTCTATAAATTTTTTACTTCAAAATTTTAATGGAAATTTATAACCAACTGTAGGCCTACAAATTGATGTAAAGATCTGTGCGCAATATAAGAACTCACTATTCCACTATAAATAATTGTTTTATTACCATTCATTTCATCTCATTATATATATATATACTTCTATATCTCCGTATTGTATTTTTGTGTCAACTTATTCTCATAAGACGGAGTAAGAAATGTTGTATTATGTACTTGAAAACCCTTTTTTGTAGTTTTACTGATTTTTTTTTAAAAATCTATTGTCAAGGTAATCTATTATTCTACGTCTGTATAAACCCGTACGGGTACTGTTTAATTATGTATGTACATTACAACATCTGAAGATGATCCATTAAAGCGACATTAGATAAGATTAGATACAGGGTTGACAATTCTCCCTATAATAGTTAAAAAATAGATAATGAAAAGAGATTATGCTTAAAATTTTCGTCAAATTATTTCACTCTGGGTCTAGATATTAGCGATTCAATTTTAGGCTAACTTCGGTAGTCAGTAATAATTTGGATACCATTTCAGGACTAAAGCAAGACCAATAGGCAGATTTAGCGGTCTAATGATTTAATGTTTATTAGAATGAAGATGTAAAAGTGGTTGATTTTTTAACTGATTAAACAAAAAATACGCCCTGTTAAAAATCAACCACTTCTATTTCTTCATTCTGATAAACATCAATAATTTCTGGGGGCAGATTAATATAAAATTTGTATTGAATCTGAATCCATAACTATTTTGGTACAGAAGTGTCAGACCCAGGTTTGATTATGTACAATGATTATCTTATTTGACTGATTTCCATTGATTTTTACAGACCATGTAATCATTATATCAATGATAATGATATTGTAATCATTGTATCAATGATATTGAATAATATTAAAGGAGATGGTCCACTTATTTCTATATTATAACAATAAATTAACAATAAAATCAACTTTTCAAAAATACTCTGGACGCCGCCATCTACATGTATTTATGATTTTGCTCGTGACAGAATCAGTGCTAGCAATTGTTTATTGGAAAGAGTAGAAACACAACAAGCATTTTTGCCGAAATCCGTGTGCATTAGTTCATCTTTATAACAATGTACACGATCTAACAATAATGCTGTATCTGTACCTTACGACGGAAAACCGGATACAAGGTGTATGCCTTTTCAAGCCATAAATTAATTAGACAATTAAAAAATAAGGTGGCAAAGAAGATGATATTACAAATTCAATTATAACCTGTGTAGAATTCAACACAAAGAATCAGAAAAGACCATTTATTGGTTCCAATTGGTTCGGTGATCATATACATATACAATACACACCCGGTTTTTCTAAATTTCTTAACTGTAAAAGTGAGTTGAAATTCACCGAGGTTTTCAGCACATCCCACTCATGGGGCTTGTTTCACCAAATTTTAACTAAGATAAAATCCAAATTTTAGTAATTTGATTGGATAATATTAGATTGATTTTAGTGCTTAGCCAATCAAAATTGAAGTATTTACTAAAATTTGGATTTTATCTTTAGTTAAAACTTCGTGAAATAGGACCCTGACCCTTACTGTATACTTATTTCTGTCGATTAATATTCAGTAAGTTAAGAGATTTCATTAGGTTGCCAAACTGATATCCCATGGCCCACGCTATCTATTTTGTTTATCCCCCCCCCCTCCACCTTAAACAGGGGCGTGTTCAGGAATTTATGCAGAGGAGGGTTTGGGTGAAGACAATTAACCTCAAGTTGGGCGTGGGATCTGGGGGATTACCCAAGAATTTGATAAAATTAAAAGCTGAGACAACATTCCTGCTCATTAAAGGAGCTAAATCGCTAATATTTGGGATCTAGAAATAAACACAAATGGGTCGCTACACATATAATAATGTAATATGAATGTATATAAACTGATTTACATTCAATCATTTCTGTTTTTACTCTAATTTTTAATCAGTTATGTTCGGTGAAATACTCCATAAGTCTCAATCGAATGGTAATCTCTAGCGTTATTTCAGTCTACACCGATAGTATTTATTGCGCATGCTCTCCAGATAAGAATATGGCGTTAGCGTTTGACACGACTTGTGGAATATGTCTAGCCTTATTCTTCGAGTCCCCTGTTACAAATGGCGCTGAGACACATTATGGCACACGATTCGTGTACCAATGGTAAAATGTTTATTTTGTCTGGAATATTGGATTCAGAAGCCCATCATTTCCGGGTAAGATCACAATATCAATGCTGATTTAAATTGACAAATAATTCGAAGACTTTGGATGATATTGAGTTAAGAGACTTCGCTACTTTAATGCCAGGTCAGACCGTGGTGGCGTCGCTACGGCGACAGAAAATGGTCGCAGAGTGCGTCAAAATCGTCTTAAGCGTGATGGAAACGCCAGATATCGTACTGAGGCCTCCATGGTCGCCAATTATCGTCGATTTGACCTGGAAAGCTGTGCGAGCGCGTTTTTTTTCAAGTTTGTATATATTTTTTTATTGTTATTATTTTTTTTGCGGGGGGGGGGGGGGCATTTTCTCGCGTTGTGTTCACGATCGCCGTAGCCTACGATGCAGGATGGTTGGGGGGGGGGGGAGAAAAAAGTATGCTCTGCACAGGTTCTTTGAAATGTCCGAGCTCTGTAACAGCGATAACAAAACTGCCTTAACCTATTTCATATGGGTAAGCCCAACCGGAGCTAATAATACCGATCTCAGTTCGCAGACCTTCAAAAAATCCGAAGACCTGCATCTGTTTACTTGTAAGTTCTAGTTCCACGCCCCTTCTTTTGAAAACACCGATTCCACCCCTGTTCCTGTTGACCCTAATATAAGCTGAATTATGTTGAATAAATTCAAATTACACCCATATAACACCCATATAAGCATTTCTATAGTAGACTATAATGTAATTTAATGTTGATAGTTAAGACACCTGCTTACCCCTATCTAACGAGGTGAAAACTCCCTCAAAGAAGAGCAATAACGTTTCTTAAACAAAATTTTATTAATAACAATATATTTCTCTTTTAATAACATAAAATAGATGGGTCGAAATATATCACAGTTTCATGCATGTCATTGTAAATAAATAGGTAAAAATCAATATGTTGTTGAAAAGCATGAAAGTAAATGAGAAAAAACAAAATATAAAACATATTAATCTATAAATGAACTCAACTGTGTCTTCACCACATGGATAATAAAACACAATTTCGCTCATACCCAAAAACTACAAATTAGACAATCTGTATTTATCAGAACTTATATTGAAATTTTCGTTACCATCCAATATACAAATATTTTCCACAAATATTTCACCCGTATAAAAATATATGAGAAACCCCATTAGAGAAAATCATAAAGACACTAAAATCACAAGAGGTATCATTGTTGAGAGAAAAAACATTGGCATGAATTTTTAATCCCATGGATGGGAAGTAATATTAATACAAAACCTTGTATTTATTAAATAAATGTTGTCTGGCTGTATAGTGTAAGAGAATAAATTGAATAAATGTGGTAAATTTCGGTATTGTTTCATAAAATTGACTTGTATTTAGAAAACATGTGAAGGCTACAGGTCAGGTATTGTCTTCAGGGCAATGACAGGACTTTGAACAAGTCGTATTTTGAGCTGTCTTCTCCCTGTGGACGGAATTATGGTAATGTAAAACAATAGAAAGGTTTTGTACAAGTCTTATTTTGAGCAATATTATATACTCAATGATTTTGTGCCTATTTGACTATATTCATCAACATTTGGAAAAGCTAAGTAACATCATTATAAAGCTGAATGGGTTGTTTCAATTCAGAAACAATTAAAATACTAGTTTGAACATTCTCATGTGTATTGCTTTTAGTATTTATTTTCTATCACAACATATAACTAAATATGAAATATAAATACAGCAGATACACCATATTGTCTAAAGCACTTCCCTACTTGTTTATCAATATTAAATTACAATTTCGTTTCATTTATTAATTCCCTACCAAAATGAAGCCAAATATACCAATACAATCTGAATAGTCAACATAAGTTCATGTGATAAAATAAAACAATTACAATGAAATATTGTTAGATCGTTCATGTAGTACAACATAATAAAAAAAAATAAAAACAAAAAGTACCATCTTACTATGGACCAGGAACTGCACATGTTGGATGAAATTAAAAAAAAAATCTAATTCACCAAATCGATGCAGAATTGTTCAAAGAAGTAGTATGCCAAGAAGAACAAGAACAAGATGAGTTCCTGGTCCAAAGGCTATTGATTGTTATAACTTATATACTATGGTTATTGGTGTTTATAATGCCCATAATTAGATTAAAGGAGATAGTCCATCTCTGTTTCTATATCCACAAAACAAAAGATAGATAATGTTGAAATTGACTATAGGTTCAACTTTTAAAAACATTCTAGGTAATGCTGTTCAGGTACCAGTACTACCCAAATTAAAGTATCTGTTCATGATGTCAGCAATGCCACAAGTCTTCCAATATGGTGTCCCCATGTTTCAAAAATGATGATGTGTTTAGCAAATCAGTCACATTAGTTTATTTTGTATAACATAATTGATAGTCATGTTTCTGCCCTTTCCAATGGCCAATAATTGCTAGTTTTGATTCAGCCAGTGACATCATGAACGCAATGTTTAATTTATTGATTGAACATGCCGAGAAAGTTTTTGAAAGTTGATTCTAGTAGCTGTCATCATTCAGGTGAACCATCTCCTATATATTAATAAATAATTAATGCAGGACTGACCAACAAAACAAAGACAAAACAAACAATAGTGGAATAAAGAACACACCAGATAAATATATCCAGAGAAGACATACAATTAAAATATTGGAAAAAAATTCCCCACAAAAATAAAAAAAAACATCTTAATGTACAAAATATAGTATATCAGTATACAAAGTTATTTGAGCCAATTGATAAATATTAAAATGTGTTACCTACACCGTTTACCCTGATAAACACTGAGTATATCTTTATGAAATCCTTTCCTTCTGTTTGTCTCTCATGACCTCTAGGTTGAGTCCAAGGTATTGTATCAAATTTGGATTAAATCCAAAGTATGTAACTGATACTTTTAGATTTGCAGAGTAAACAGTTCAGCTGCACTGGAACCCAATAATTTTAGTGGTCCTCCAATAAATATATCTTGTTTTTAGTATATTTTATTCAGATAGATTTCTGATCCATAAATTAAGGTTAAATTAAACATCATAATTATGAATACTTAATTTTTGTTTTGATATGGTTGTTTGTTTGTTATATGAATCATATAATATGTTATATATACATAGATTTCTGATCCATGAAGTACCTACATTTAAGGGCCCTTAAAATCTTCTACCATAGGGCCGAGCAACTGAACAAATTAAACCCGTCAGTCTTCATCTGGAAATGGAGACTGTTGTCCCAGGCTGTATTATACGGTGTCTGGATAAAACCAGACTTTTTTCGTTATCAAGTATAGAGCGTAGGTGATGTAGTGTAATGGTGGGTGATGGCAATAGACTATCAGGTCACCCCAAAAAAAAAATGACCAGAAATCTGAAAAGGGGTTACATGTCCAGTACACATACTTTTATTTCTGAGACTCTATTGTTAAAAACGGGATGGTCCCTTTAAATTAAACATCATGTTTGTTTGTTGGCCTGCTATATGAATAACTTCATAAGTAGGGTGCCCCACCATAAATAAATATCTTCAAATATCTTGACAATTACACCACAATATTTATATATATACCAAGCCTTAAATCAGTTTTGCACATTTATAGTCACTAAATAAACGGTCATGTTGTACTTAATAAGCTATGACCATTTAACCATCAGTAAATAATAGATTTTAACTAAATTAGAACGGTTTGCCATTTAAAAATATAATTTAAAAATGGGAAAGCGAGGCTAAGTCTCGAATATACCAGTGACCTGGTTACCACTATGCACACATCTTGTCAAAACTACAAACAGTGATAACTTGGCTCAGAATGAAGTAATTTGATTGAAATTTTCAATATTTTCATTTTACATTACATGTATTTATTTTTGAGCTATTATGGCAAGAATGGTCAGCACTTTATCTAAATCTTACATAATGTATCTTCTTAAATGGTATGATTAACTTTGTATTTGGTGTAGTATTTAATGATAAAATTGTCATGTAATGATTATTGCAGTGGTTAGCGCTGGTTTGCTTGTTGAATGTTGCTTCGGTTTATAATACTGCTGGTAATTGAATCATTTTTCGAGTAATAATCCTTTCAGAGATTCAATTTCCACACCATTATAGTTTGCAATGCATTCAATCCATCAAGTGACGATCAGCGGGTTTAATTATGTCAAATTTTTTGGCACAACACGAAATAACACGCGGTTGCCATGTGCAAGATATGCCCACATTTTGCAAGAGATGGACAGAAAACAAGTTAAAAAAAGCAATTTTCTTGTACAATCAGGGGACACAATCCAGGAAGTTATGGTCCGATATGTGTGAATATCAAAAGGAATCGAAATCTCTGGGAAATAAACATACATTTTAAGTTTTATCAAAATTGGACAAAAATTGTTTTCTCTAGCGAGTCCACAACCTTCATATTACATACTTTTACACTATTTGCATTCAATCGTATAAAATGTGTGACCTACAGTGGGACCAAATCGTTATTTTTCCGTACAATCAGGGGCCATAATCCAGGAACTTATGGCCCGATATGCGTAAATATGGAAAGGAACCAGGATCTTTGGGACATAAATACATGGACATGTTTTAAGCTTCATCAAAATAGGATCAAAATTGTGACCTCTATAGAGGATTCACAACCTTGATATTACATATTTTAACACTATTTGCGTACATAGAGCGGCCAATTTGTCTGGTAGTTTCGGTCTGATTTTCGTGAAATTCGAACTAGATCATCATTATGGTGTAACAGTGATATATTTGAACAGTTTTTTAAATTGGATGTAAATTGTGTCCTCTAGGTGGACCACAGGCCAAAAATTTGACTTTTCGTACAATCAGGGGCCCTAATCCAGAAAGTTGCGGTCTGATATGTGGGAATATCAAAATGAACTGAGATCTTCGGGTTCTAATCATACATTTCAAGTTTCATTTAAAAATTTTAACCTCTAGAGAGTACACAAGCTAAAAACGTGATCTTTGTGTTATAAATATACATTTCAAGTTTCATTTAAAAACTGTAACCTCTAGAGTGTACACAAGCTTAAAGCGTGATTTTTCGTACAATCAGGCATAATAAGCCATGAAGTTTCGATCCGATCCAATACATGTCAATATCATTTGGAGATAAACCAATATTTCGGATAAGAATTGTGACCTGTTGAGTGTCCACAAACAAATTGTGGAGGGATGTCCGGATGGGCAGGGGTGACGATAATATGCGTCCACATATAAATGTGGGTGTATAAACAGGAATTAGAACTTAAATTCCTGAGAAAAATGATAATGCAATAACAGTTTTTGATTGGCTCATATTGTAAAATCTTGAATGGCTTCAGTAAAATCAACCAATTGATTGAGTTGTTGTATCCCAAGTTTTATTTCAAGAGTTCGATAAAAACATTCTGGTGCCTGAAACATAAGGAGAAAATATTTGATTCGAATGCCAGGCCAATACCATTATATTATGCCTATCAACCACAATTATTTTATCCATTATGGGATTTAGATTTAACATTTTCTCAGGTTCATCAACTAAAATCATTATTTTCAAGCCTGTTCAGAATACCAGAAAGATGCAGACACAAGGTATTTAAATTAGCTGGATTTACTGAGGCTAAAGAAGACATTCATATAGTGGAAAGACTGGTAAGAGTGAGACTTAAAAACACAACATCCATTTATATGTTTATCATATGTGTTATATTTCTACCTACAAATGACAGTCAACTAAATTACTGATAATATATATATATACTGTGACCCTTTCTGGTAAAATAAGTCGGAATGGGAAAGTCTAATAATGAGCTACAGACAAAGTGAAAATATTGATTTTGATTGAAATTGAGATTTTCACAAAAATGAGACTATAAATATACTATCTATTGACCCAAAAGATCAAAAGAGCAATAAAACATTTTAAAACACATTTATTTGGACATTTTTTAAGCGACCGTGTTCTTAAATCTGTCTTTTTTCTTAAAATTCTCAGCGAAATTAGTTACATTTCAACGCACGCAGCGGGATGACTTGTCAATTTCCTTACGTAATACTTGGCATCGTTGTGAACGGGTGAATCTCTAGTTTATAAATATGGCCAAAGTATTACCGCTAATCTCATTTTCAACGTATAGAAACAAGTTTTAAAACCCATACAATACGTAAACACACTCAGCCCAGACAGCCGGCGCAGTGGTATCATGGTTGCGATAAGAATATGAAACTAGTGATAAAAGTTTGATTTTAGCCTTAATGTTTTGGGGTACATCCAATTCTTTCTGATAAGTAGCAGGGAAAAAATCTTAAAATTCTAATTGTATATAGATTGTCGTTGAGTGTCAACCAAAAACCATGTGTAGGAATATTAAAAATTAATCAACAAGCTGAAAATCTGGATTGTGTCATTGAGTAATACTAACAAATTGTCGTGGATTAATGATTAGTTGATTGATAATTGCCAATGATATATAAAGCCTTCCCCAAGTCATTACTTACTCCAAATAATTAATCAAAGCGGTGATTATTTGATATATCATTTCGTCTTAAAAAAAATTATATTTTGATAGTTGGATTCCGTTTGCTGTGACTTCATTTGACATGTAAAATATACAAGCATAACTAATGCTAGATTCCCACTATCACAATACGTGGTACAATTGAAATCATGCTTTTAATCGTGGAGTAATCATGGTGATCCTATCAGGTCTTATCATATATTGAGGCCAGTTGTAGCAGTAGGAATCATGTTAACTGCACCAAAGCGTAACTGCACGTAGCATGTCTTGGAGTAAATAGGGATAATCCTATGATCCCTATCGTAACGCATCGCTCGACAGTAGGAATCTAGCATAATTGAATATCATTGTTTCAAATTCTATTATCACCATGAGTCGGAAACGAGTCGAATAGCGATGATTCTCAAATGAGAAAATAATCCTTACTAGTCTTACAAATCAAATTGAAGCTTTTATCATTCTATCAGGGATTCAGATTCTGATACCATGGTACTTGAAAATAACAGTAGACCTATTGTATACGCAAAAACTTATTTTAATTCACTCGTGTGACGAAAACAGAACGCATGTGTGGCAGCTTCTTTGATAATCAAGAAACTTAACTTGATTACCCAATCAACAATCTTAATCTCTCGAGCTATAAGGTGCTTATTAATTGTTGAGTTTAACAGAAATTATTCCCATAAAGGTTATATATACAAAACCTAGATTACTAATGTATGGACTATTCTCTTTTGTTCTAATTTATAACATCGAAAAAAATATCATAAAACAAAAAAAAATAAAAATATTATGGCATGGTTGCTATGTGATTTTGTTTTGGAACATACCAACACATTTAACTAGCTTTATCTCTAAGCTACCTTTTCTGACTTGGTCAACTTCGAACGGATATAGCCCAGTCAATTTTTGCCTGATTCATGAGGTGAAGAATATGAAAATAACAATAACTCAATTTTCAAAATTTTCTCATTCCAACTCAATTTGCCAGCACGGGCCATAAGATCAATATTGTTATGTATTTCATATAAATGGTTTTTATATTTTTAAATGTTACTAATCAATAAATGGAGATATAAGGTTATTCTGACAAATATGATGCTAAATCATAAGGCAACACAAATAAAATAAGTTGTTTCTCGGACACCGCCCGCACGCAAAATTGGTTGCGCGTGCGGCCTATTTATTAGTCTTGATGAAAAATAAAAAATATGTTACGCCCGCCCGAACATCGATAAGCAAGTCATAAAAAGAATATGCCCCATACGTGAATATCCATTCAAATGTATTAAACTGATTTAGATGCATACGCTCATTTACGTGTCTTTTTTATTGATATCGAAAGAACCTCCAATTTTGTATCACGTGATTTTAATTACCTCCCCTTGTGAACTAGAATTTGATTCGTGTTAAACACCGAAAGTCATTGACAACAATGCAATGTATTTCAATCATTCGATCTTAATCGGCTCATTATTGCCGGCTTCAGTCGGTCCATGTTTGAAAAAATCCTACTTATAAAACAATGAATCGTAGAACAGGTTAATTATCATAACTTGTGGCTACGAATACGATACGATGATAGTCACCATACCTTAGTCAGAATCTGGGTCATTAACACATTTAACGGTAGTTTTGATAATCCAGAAAATAATAATTGTATTACACATTTGATGGTTTTACTGACCAGTTGTTAGTTAAATTTAAATAGTCATTCGATATAAACCCCAGATAGAACACTGAATATCCTGAGAAACACACCGAATATCCTGAGAAACAGTCATTTCCCGAATCCCGATGACACGTGACATGCATTGGTTGGAATTAGGTCAATCATTATAAACCAGCGATACTAGATTTAGATCTAAGTGTCGTTTACCGTGATGATTATTTTTGATACACATGCTGACAGAGGCTTACTCTTTAAATAGTCGTACGGAATTTTAAACCAATTTTAATTATGGTTGTCACTTAAGCTACATTACGTGAATTAAATATGGAAAATTATTTTCCTTTCAGTCAGTGTTCAGTGTTTGAGTAGACTTGATTTTTGAGTTTATGTTCTAAGTATGTATAATATATAACTGAAAGCAAAACCGTAGACGAGTATAATGACTTTCTCATTAAAAAAAAAAAAAAAAAATACAAGGCCGCCCTCCCGCCCCAACAATTTTCAACAATAGCCAAATTTTATTTTGCACCATCCTCTAGCCAGAAATGAGGTAAAAAAAAAAATAACCCGCCCTCCCCCCCCCATAGTTTCAGCTGTCAGTTGCCCGAGAAACAAAACATTTATTTTGTGTAGCCTAAAAAAGGTGGAACAGGTTATTGTGACATATATACTGTGAATCAGTATAAGACTATTTAGGGAAGTATAAATATAGTAAAGACATAGAAAATATACTAACCTCACCCTTCAAGTTTTGCAAGAAAACTATTTCTTTTCCACTTAATTTACACAATTTTTGATTTCTGTAATAAAAAATAAACAACTTGTCATTAATTTCATCAATCAGGTAACTGAACATATACATAAATGGTCAAGCTTTACAAGTCAAAATGTAAACAGGGAGGTAACTCTGTATATTCTAATCCTTAAAATGGCCAAATAAACTGCAATGTTTAACATTCACCAGCTATTAAAGTCAATAAGTGAATGGGACAATATCTTTGTTGGAAATTGAAAAATTCAGAATTTTGGAACAGCTGATCTAATGAATTATCTTATGTGAACAAAGTCTGTCACAACATATATATGCACATGAATATACTACAAATTTCCACAAAGAGTAATAAAGTGCATAAGACCAAAGATAGCTGGATCCGGCAAATTTAAGTCGACTGGTTCAGGAAGTACAGTAAGACGTACCACTTGGAGAAAGACAGGTAGCAAGCTCAGGTTTAATTATCACAGAGGACCAGCCATTTAAATTAAAATGTTATTAAATACCCTTGTAAATTATATTTTTGAAGCCATTTTGCCACATCTTTAGGTGTCCATTTCATAATCCTGTCAGTATCTTCTCGGTTAGTATTTTTCGAGTTACTGGATTTTACCAATACAGCTGACTAAATTTTAAAAAAAAGAAACTGCTATAAAATGCAAAGTGAAAACAGTCTCGCAAAAAAGGGAGGCATGCCAAAAATGCAAATCATGAATAAAGACACATTTACTCAGAGTTAATCAACCAACCTGTTTCTGTATGACTGGAGAATCAACTTCATCAGCTGTTGCAGTCTTCAGATTTGGTTTGGGTTCTTCTTCTACAACTGCTATGGGATCATACACCTGTTTAACAGCTTTCATTAAACCATCTATACGGGTTTCAAATGAATATTTTCCACTAAAATCATAAAATAGTTTTGCGCCGAGAATAAATCCAAGCCATCCATCTGGTCGATAACCTCTCTCCATAATAAGAGGGATAATTGGACGTCGTAACTGGAAAGCATATTCTGCTTCTAAAAAATTCAATGAATTTGAATACATGATATGATATCTGTCTTGTTAATGTAGTGCCAGTGGTACTAAAAATGTTATAATACTTATATACTGATACACAATAAAAATGCACAACTTTTATAAATGGATAATTGTAAATCTGTCAATTCTGAGAATCATGTTTTCACGGTAGCCTAACAGCACCATAGATAATACTCTCAAACACAAAAAAAATTAATTTGACAGAATGGGGATGTTTAATATCACACAACTTTATGATGCAGATATTGGATATAAAATGTGTCTTTAAAAAAGCTAGGGTCAGTGTCATTATAATGACTACATTTCATTCTGGGAGGGGTGATGCCAAAATTTAAATTTTAGCTGCATTGCATCTTGCCAGTTCTGCCAGTCTCCCAGTCCAAACAGTCATGCGTTTTCATTGCCTCTCAGAGAATGTTCAGACATATATCCTGTAGTGTATATAATAATCTAGATTACCCAGACACTGTAGACTAGCTGGTCTTAAATTATATAGCCATGTGGGAAATTAACAAAGAAATGGCTGTTACTATGTGGTGTTAATTTTAGCATTTCAATTGTGGGGGAATTGATGGCGTCTTTACAAATATAATATATCGGACTGGTTGAAAGAGACAAAGTCTGTTATAATACTAACACAATATCTCAATTGACATATTGTTCTTGTAAAATTAACATCACTTTTTCTATTGTGTCTTGAACAAATGAAATGAAATGGGATTTAACATCCTTTTGTTCTGCATGCGCCATACAGTGTGCTATGAGGGAAATTTTGCAATAACAGTTGAACTACAGCCTTCTCTGATATTGAATTTCAAATGCCAATGTGTACACAGGACCTTGGTTTTTCGTCCCATTCGAACGACTATATGTTGCCCCTTGCCAGTTCCTGCACCACTGAAACTACACCAGAAAATCCTGATGAACTTTTTTGCCCAACATCAGGATTGAACACGAGACCTCCAGCTTAGAGAGTCAACGTCTTACTCACTGATCCACCAGGGATCATCGGCTTTAACAAATAAAATACCACATTTACCTGCTCGACAGTTTGGACTATCTTTATATTTTTGTGACATACAGATGACCACAGCTTCAGCACCTTCTATAGCAGATGCCATGGCTTGTAAAGTTGATCCTTCCATATTGTCAATATCCATCCATACCTGTAATATAAACAAACATTATAATAACATTCTGAAAATTGAACACAAAAGAGATAAGCTTTTAATTTAGGTAAGGATAAGATATTGAATTGTGATCATCTACCAATGTTATTTCCATTGGTGATGGAGCAATCTTTAAATTTAAGAGAGAGAGAGAGAGAGACAGAAATGGGGTTTAACACCCACTCAACACAATCTAGGTTATTTCGGGACTAAAACATGGTTCAATTTTATTTCAATAATTCGCTTGCGCGTAGGGGTCTTTTAGCAGTGGGAGGAAACCGGAGAACCCGGAGAAAACCCTAGAGGTTGGACAGGCGACCCTACTCCTTGTCACATACAACCAGGGATTTGAAACCACTTTAAATTTAAGTCTTCTTGTTTACTAGTTTTAGTTTAAATTTTGGCATACCGGTACTCCGTTGACAGTGGAACACAAAATCAGTTACATCTCAGCACTGGCTTTATCTTGTAATGAAGACAGATTGTCATACCACAACACAAATTTAGAGGTCTATCCAATTTAAAACTACATTTTTAAAATCATAATTAGATCATCTGTTTTTATAAACAACTTGATAAGGCAGGAAAAATAAAAGATGGCAACATGAATTCAGTAAACAGAATGGGAATTATTTGGATTGATTGATACGAGTAATTTTTGTTTTAATAGGCTTTTTTTAAAGGCCAGCTCTCACTAAATACTGTAAGACAAATAGGACAAAATATCAAAAACGGCTTAATTCTGTATTCAAAGACTTTGAAATATGATAAAAACACTTATCTCACAAAATAGTGGAAATATTTAGCTCTGAAGCTGGATTATATATGACTACATTAATTTTCATTAAAAAGAGAGAAAGAGAAATGGGGTTTAACATCCACTCGACATAAACTTGGTCATTTCGGAATTCACATACAGTTCAATCTTATTTCAATAATTTGCTTGTGTGTAGGGGTCTGTGCATGTACTAGTGGGAAAAAACCGGAAGACCTGAAGAAAACCATCTAGGTTGGAAAGGCAGCTCTACTTATTGTCACGTACAAGCAGGGAGTTGAAACCATGTCACTTGACTTAATGACAGACCTTATGATTTAATGGTGCTCACTTTAAACTATTCGGCCACCCAACCCCACTTTCATTAAAAAAGCAAATTGATAACTACTGATACAAAGCATGCAAACCCTCATGGCAACCAAAAACAGAAAATTTTGACATTTCTGCAGAATATAAAATAAGTAAAAAAAAAAACCAGATCTTTATCAATGATAAAGTAATGCATAAAGTCAATATATTTGTTTATCTCACTTAGAGAGGAAGCCACAGTGGCTCAGTGAGTAAACCTAGTGTTTGCTGAGAAGTTCATCTGGATTATTTAGCATGGTTCAACATTGTCAGTGTTAAGGACAATATATATTCATTTGGATGGGATGAAAAATCGAGGTAACGTATCCACATTAGCTTGCACATAAAAGAACCCTTGACAACTGGAATTCGGTAGAAGAGTAAGCCATAGCTCTGCTACCCAAGCAAAATTTCCCCTCATAGGATACACCATGCAGTGTTCAACTTTGTAACATTATCCAACATACCTGATGACTGTTTTCACGGAGACTGCTGCTGACTTGTTTTAAAACAGCTTGATGATCCCATTGGTAGCTTATCATCACATGACCACGTACTTTCTCCTCCTTCGCTTTATTATATTTTTTATTAGTTTCTTCTTTCTTCTTCTCAACTGTTTTAACTAATTAAATTAGATTCCTTTTTATTTTTTGTTATTATTTTTCTAATTTCCTACACTATATGAATATAAGATCTAACATATATCTAGAACAGCTGTCAGATTCCTGACATTCATTTATTCTTGGCGCTTAATGTCATGCAGCATCCAGCAAGGGTGATATCGTATACATGTGTTTCCTAGGAAACTTGCAAGAAGAGATCAGAGGTTTGTCTAGCTTAGGTTGGAGATAGAGGAGTGATTAAGGCATTTTACTGTCTAATTTCCTTGATTAAAATGCAATCTTTCCTTTTGAGATACAGTGTCCAATTAATGGTGTTGATCCAGACCATTCATAAAATCCTTCCAAAGACATTGTTCCTGAGTACAGATAAAATAAAGAAGTGCCCTAAACTGGACTGTCGAGGTGATGGCCTGCAGGTGCAGTCTGGCGACATTGTCACCAAAGCTAAGATCTAGAGGGGGCTGATTAATTTTAAGGTTTTGGCTGGCATAAAGAATGGCCTATCTAGCTTACAATAAAGCGCTTCGATACAGTAATATTTTCACGAGGCTAGGGATTATCATGCCATGAGCCTTAGCTACAAGAAACAGCTCCTTCCAAAGCCAGCTGACATCCCTTTCTGTAGGTATGTCCGACTAGCATTACCCATCTGAGAGGTCGCTTACTGATCCCACCTAGAGTAGAACGCTCGATCTGTTTATTCTAAAGGGATCAAATCAGTATACTGCAAACTTCATAAATTGATCAGTGGATGTTTTCATGGCACGATCAGAACGTCTGTGTTTTCATTGGCGGTTTACAGTACACAGAAAGCATGACACATTGATAGTAAAATTGAGTACAGTAAAATATACAAAACAGAGTAAAATGAATTGAAAAACATCTGATCTTATAAGTTATATTCCAGATGTATATCTTTATCAAAATACAAAATTGATCACTTATTTTATCAATATTTATCATAAACTATATATATTTAAATACTATTTGAATAAAGACTTTTCGTACAGTAAAATCAGTAAAGTGACCATTTAACTTTCTCCTCCAAATGTTCTAGTCGACTAAATGCTTCACTACAATAACAAACTTACTTAAAGTATTTATCGGGTGGTTATTTCCAATAAAAGTATGGTAATTTTGGTAGAAAAATACTGGATTCCCCGAAAAACACTCATGAAGCGTATACAGAACAAAAATGTAAGGGTTCCCCTAATCAACAGGCCGACGATTAGGAATTTCTGCATGCGTGATGTCAAAGGTCACACGCGAACATTGAGCGCTTGATGTACAAGTTGATAAACTTTATGAAGAGTTAGACATACAACACTTTCTGAGATAAAAATGACGCGTGTAGTGGATAATTCTGAGAATTTAATTAGGATTCGATATTTGTAATAAATAGTAAGCGATTAAAGACAACATCGTCTTATGTATGCAATGAATTCTCCTCTGACTTCCAAGAGAGGTAAGTCACATGACGTAAACATGACCTGGTTTGATCGAATTTTTATAGCAGGGCATTCCTTCGCAATTACAATATTTGAGAAGAATTTGAAGCAAAGTTATGTCAAATTAATTAGTTTGAATATGTTTTTAGTCCATATATACCATTAAATCACCCAGTTTGTACGCGGGAACCCATCTTTACTTAAAAATTACAAAAAAATTCATACATACCCAAATGTTTGAACTGATCTTCATTACGCAGTGTTTTCTGTAAAGTCCAAAATATACCCTGACTCATTTTTTTCATTTTACCAGTCGATGTTTTCCCTATTCTCTCAATTGTTTCAATTAGATTGGGCTCAGACACCATTTTCTGTTTGTTCACATCATCGAAAGCTAAAACCCACAATGACTCCATGGCCTCTGTAATAAAGTCACATAATGTTTAGTGTAACAAGTAAAGCCTAGGTCAGGAAATCGAACCTGTGACCTTCAGTGTGAAAGATAAACAAATGAAATGAAATGAAATGGGGTTTAATGTCCTACTGTTCTGCTCCGATGGGACTAATGAAGCCGGCCATACGCCTTACGTGCACAGTGTGCTAGGAGGAAAATTTTGCCCGGTCAACGGCACTGCAGCCTACTCTTATATCGTATACCAATTGCCAAGAGTATTTTATAACTATACTTTTTAAAGTGAGAAAGGAATTCCAGGGGGCGCGATCGTCTGTCAAATGTGAAGCACTGTATTTTTGAAGGAGCGATTTGCAGCTGTTGTAATTTTAGAAGAATTTTTTATGGATCCTCTATTTTTTGGAAAACATGAAGCACTGGATGTATGAAAAATTTTGTACGGACAGGCTCAGGAATTCCTACATCATCTGTAAGAAATGAAAGTAAATTGGGTTTAACTTCCTACTTTTCAGCTCTGCCTGGGCTAATGAAGATGGGTCACCTTTTCAAATGAAGATATGTCTTTCTCCATTGGCTTGTTAACTGGCATTAATTAGAAATTGATAAAATCTACCTTCACGTTCAACCTTGACCTCGGAGACAATCAGTGTTAAAAGCAAGGGCAGACAACCCAATTCTACCAATAGTTTCTTGTTTCCATCATTTCTAGCCAATCGACCAACAGCTGAAGATAAAATACAAAAATAAGTGATAACTAGAATAAAAGAGAGGACTGAAACTAGTATCATTCTGATTAGAACAAAATGCAATAGATGCAATGGTATGCCAAGGTTAAAACCTCAACATGGAACGTGCAAATGACTTAATTCAATGGGATAAAGCTTTGGATGCCATCACAAGATTGGTCGATGGATTCCAACAGACAGGCTCCACTAAAGAACAGCCAAGGGCTGGACGGCAATGTGTGACAATGGCTAAACAAGACCAGCACCTTATCCGGCCATATTTGCAGGATTGCACGCTGCCAGCTTTGAGAACTGCTGCTGTCATGAGGGGTCCAGAACTATGTTCTGTATAAGCTATATGTGTTGGATCAATTCTGACTTAATGCTGTTACTGACTGTTGAATTTTACCCATTGTTCCTACTGTAAAGTGTTTAAAATATCCATCCTACTGTCATACCAAAAATCACAACTGAGCTGCATTATGACTCTGTAGTGCTTCCAGTCAAATCCAAATCAGTGGTGTATGCTCATTGTGTCTCGGTATATGGAGTGCCAGCCAAAATGGCAGAGAGAGAGAGAGAGAGAGAGAGAGAGAGAGAGAGAGAAATGGGGTTTAACGTCCAATTGACACAAACTAGGTCATTTCGGGACTAACATATGGTTTAATTTTTTTATTTCAATAATTCGCTTGCGCGTAGGGGTCTTTAGCAGTGGCAGGAAACCGGAGGACCTGGAGAGATGACCCTACTCCTTGTCACATACAACCGGGGAATTGAAACCCCGCCAGTTGACTCAATGACAGACCATATGATACAGCGTGCGCGTGCTAACCATTCGGCCATCCACCCCCCCCCCCCCCCAAAATGGCAGACACCAAAGGAATTTTGCCTGACATTTTTAGTAGCAAGTGTCATTTTTCCAGGCTTACACTTTTGTCATTTTGTTCGAACAATATAAAACTATCTACGTACTTCTGCCAAGTTCTGCAGCTGACCACCCGGCATCCCGTCTGTTCGCTCGTTTACTGGCGTTACTTAACTTCTTCAACATGAACTTGATACTGCCTTCATTCGAGTTCAACATGTCACACTCATCTTCATTAACCAGATCAGCCAATGTCGCCACGGCAGATAACTTGTGCAATTCAGTACTAGAGTCCAAATATGGCTCACAAGCTTTCACGTAGCCATGTGACCTCATAATTGGAACATTCTCAGATAATATGGCCATGTTATGAGCTACTCCTATCATTCTTTTAACATAAGACTCTTCCTCTTTCTGGAAAATATATTCATAAAATTAAAAATATTTTTAAAAGTATTGAAAAGCTGAAATGAAATAATATGGGGTTTAAAGTTCTGCTTTTCTGCTCTGGCTGGGCTAATGAAGAGAGGCATATTATACAGTGTGTTATGATGGAAATTTTACCAGGAGAGCCGCGTTTAGGCCTACTCTTATATTAAATCCCAAGCGTTCTTTTTCATGAAATACCAATGTGTACACGGAACCTCTGCTTTTTTGCCCCATCCAAACGACTAGACAGCTGTCCATTTCCAGGTCCTCTGTCCTGCACAACTGGCAAGGGGAAACCAAGCTGGAAAATCCAAAGGTAATTTCTAAGCCAACTCCAGGAGCGAAGTCGAGACCTCCTGGCTAGTGAGCCAAAGTCCACCACCAGCAAAGTTGTTTGTGCTAGTTCTAAAATCCTAGGAACTTTTTCCCTCAAAAGCTAAACAGAAACTAATTTTCGATCGGAATGTTCTGAAATTCGATATGGTTCCTCTTCAGGCCCGAATGAGCATGCCCAGTACTCACACTGGCTTTCAATAATTTTCTGCCAAAATGGATGATAATTTTTATATAAAAAAATGTTTATATTTTTTTCTGCCAACTGGAATATTTTATCTGCCAAACATGTGTGATAAAAAAGACAACATGTAACAATTTTATATCCCAGTAAGGCCTATTATAAAACAATTATCGATATCAGATTTTATTTTTGGTGACTTTACTCTTTAGTCTATTTGCACACCGTACTGCACAATATATTTTCAGTATTCAAATCTCATCCAAGAATTCAACCATCAAAATATTCAATTCTCTTCGAAAAGAATTGTCGGCCATTTTGATTACATGTATTACCATTTTTGTTCAAAACGAAACGAAACATCAGATAAACACCACTTGGATCAATCATTAGGAGTAAATAATGACTTGAGATAGGCGATATATATATTTATATGATTAGTTGATTGATATTGCCAATTGGCAATCGTATCATGCCAAATGGCAATTATCAATCAACTAATCATTAATCCAAGACAACTGATTATTAATAGTATTACTCATTGACGCAATCCGGATTATCAGTCAGTTGATTAATCTATAGTTTGCCGCCACTTGATTGACACTCACATGATTAATCCAGGATAAGATTTTTTCCACCAGTTCTCAAAAAGAATCGCCAGTAACGCAGGGCAAATAGTTTGCCGCTACTTGATTGACACTCACATGATTAATCCAGGATAAATATGATAGAATTTTAAGATTTTTTCCACCAGTTCTCAAAAAGAATCGCCAGTAACGCAGGGCAATATCGCCAAATTTATCCCCAAAATCAAATTTATTGAAAGTTACAACTTTGGCAATCGACAGCATGAGCCGGAGCATGCCAACAGGTTTTCTTTTTTAATTCCATGAGTGCTTTGACATGAAAGATAGCTACGGAAAATGCATTCAAATCATTTCTCAATGACTCACAATATTTGGAGCTGAAATTTTCAGACAAGAGAAATAGGCTTCTTATTTCACAAAATAAAACCAAAGATTACTCACAATCAAAGTCCCATCCTTATGTTTTGGAAATAATTCCAATAATTTGTCTGCTATCATTTTTACAAATTCTTCATGCTGACAAAAAGCTCTTCGCATCACATCGGCACAGTCTGTGTAATTCATTGTACAAATGAACAATGTTTCGAGTAAATTATGAACTTCCTTTATAACCTGTCCATCATCATTTAAATATGTCTTTTTTTTAAGTGCCTCAACAGATATTTCACACACCAGGGGCACAAATCGACCATCAGCAATTAACAATTTGCTGACTTCTAATCGATAACTCTGTACAAACTCGGACTGTGCACCAAACATGGCTGAATAAGTTTTACGATGAAACATCATTTCTTCGGAAATCTCTTGCGTCGATCTGGATTTATAAGTTGATAAGCTTAACGTTGATTTGGCAAGGAATTCTCGGATTCGTTTTAAAGCCAATTCTTGTGCTTGTTGCATCTGTTCCTGTGTTGGTTCTGCCTTCGTTGGACTTAGTTTTAAAACTGTCACACGTTTAGGGGCTGAAGCAACAGTGTTAGTTGGCGGAGCAGGATCTGCAGCACTAGAATTAGACATACCAGTGTTAGAGTTTGCAGTATGAGTGGTCATGTTGGAATTAGCAGTACCAGTACTAACATTGGAATTAGCAGTACCACTGGAATCTTTAGTACTATTTGTATTAGAATTTACTGTACCATCCACTGTGGTGGAATTGGCAGTACTACTGATACTTGTTTTAGTATTTGCTGAGTCTTTGATTGTGTTATTGTTTGTAGAATTGACAGAATTTTCAGTGGGTGCTGTTGTGACTTTTATAATTTTGGTTACGTTTTTGCCACTTTTGTTTAATTCATTATCCTCTTTTTCGATTGTGGAACTGAATTTTGATTTTGCGACCACATCAGATTTCCGTCTGGTTGCTTGAATCTCTGTTTGTGAGGCACCAGCACCCATTATATAGGTAGTTATGTTCTGTTTAAAGATAGGCTACTATCCCTGGTTAAAGGTCCATTTAAACACCTGAAAATAATAAAAATAGAATATGATCAGAGGATATGTCCTATGCAGTACTTTGGGACTCTTTAAGGTCCAACACCGACCCTGACCATAACTGATTGACCTACAGTGATTATGCATAGTTTAATTTGGTAGATTATAATAGAAAGGAATGCATAGCATGGTTTATCTAAATTGCTCAATATTTCTATCGAATGTTTATATTGCTAGAGTGTTACTGTCAGTGATGCAGGACGGAGGGCCTGACAAGGACAGCTGTATAGTCTTTTGGATGGGACGAAAAACCAAGGTCCTGTGTAGGCCTACACATTGGCGTGCACGTAAAAGATCCCTTGACAGTTGGAATCTCGATATAAGAGTAGGTCGTAGCGCCGCTGTACGGGCATAATTTCCCTCATAGCACAGTGTACGGCGTATGCCTGTCTTCATTAGCCCCGGAGCAAAACAGTAGAACATTAAACCCCATTTCATTTCATTTCCCCAAATAATTGTGGCCTATACATTATCTAGTACACGTAACTGGATGAAAAAGACTGACGCAATATTATGTAAAGAATTTCTCATTTTCTGTTAAAAAACACATTTTATAAAGTTTATTACTGATCAGTATATATGTTTTATGTAGAATATATCAATCAAACCTACCCATATTTGTTAGTCATTGTAACCCTGTTATTGATTAAATCCAAACATGGATGTTTCGTTGCTATTACCAAAAGTAAACAAACAGTAGATTCTAGTCTCGAATACACTAGTCACTCGTAACATAGTGACAGAATTTGGCACACTGATCAGCAGTGAATATTCGCTATGCCACACAATCACTGATAAGGATGACATCAATGCGACTTATTGAACTCAAATATTAACTTTTTTCCACCGAAAAATTAAATTGTAAAACATTTTTTTGATGTATTAGAAAAATAAATAAAGACGTTTGACGTATTTGTAGGTAAAAATTATTTCCTATTTAGTGTAAATGGGTATTAAAATGACTAAAAGGCAGCATTCTGCCCGAAGCAGTAACGTCTTATGTAAACAATGCACGCGACATTCAGCCAATGATTGACGTCGCGTGCTGTGACAGCACGTGTTAAAGACAGTCATCTTTTACAGAGATATTAGAAGACTCGTAATTCTCTGTGAAACAGATTGAGAATTTGGCACTTGATATCAATTTAAATCCGCACATCTCTCGCGGTTGTTGCTTCACGAACACGAAGGTGCTCTGAGCTTCAGGAACATGAAAATGGCAAATTTACTCCACTCAGTTTTATTCAGACATTTTAGTTTGAACCTCTACCACAATATAGAAACGGACAAAACGGATGCTTTTCTAAAGTTGCAAATGATCGGCCTACAATTATGATTATATTATAGTTATGATCCGAATTATATTAAATGACTTTAGAAGGAGACGTGTAAACCTTTGCAGAATGAATTGTACTGCGCGAATAAATATACTGTTGACCGTATATAACACTACATGAAATTGCAAGAAAATCTTAATATAAAATTTCAGTACCAAGCTTAATAAAAAAGAAACACTAATCTTAATACCAAAAGACTAATGCATACAATTTATTATTAGCATAATACGAAATATTAACTTACCTAAAATTAATAGAGTTCCAAATAAAATATACAAGCTGGTGAAGGTACGGAAACTTACTAGAGACTAACAGAGTAAGTATACTCGTCATAATTCAAATAGGTATATAAACCAAACCTTACTATCAGTTCACAAGTTAACTTCGAACTAAATTAAACATTTTAATGGGACTATAGATGAATTTACAAACACGCCCCTTTCAATATAAAACTGAAGGAAATAGGGGTTAACGTCTTACTTAACGACTGGGCTGATGAAGACGGGTATATTTTGAATTACAACTGACTAGGCTTCTTTAAGGTGCACGTCAGCCTGTACGACTACACACAGTTCCTTTACAGGCCCTCGATTCTGCACTACTGACAAGTGGAAATCACACCGGAAAAAAACCTGAGGATCTTTCTCGGCCAAAACCCGAAATGAATGAACCCGAAACCTCTCATGGTTAGCGAGCCAGCACTCTCCCACCACATTTCAATAAGATGATAATAATAATAAACTTTTTAAAGTACAGTTTAATACGTTATAAAAAATCAATAATATATATACACAGTTAGAATAAACAAACATTATCGGAGCACAGTCCAAATATGACGAAGGGGAATAATTACTACGCATTCTATAATAATTTAAACATATATTAAAGACAACATTTCATTCTCTCTATCCGAATGCGTTTTCTTCGGTTGTGCTTTTTACCGGATGAAATGTGCGACTTTAAACAAATTTAATTCATAATGTTCAACACAATATTAATGTTTTCACATTTTTGATTTCGCTGGCACTCAAATTGGACAGCAGAGGCAACCGGGAACACAGATTCGAAAAATTATAACATTCGGAGCTTTTGCCCTTGGTCACTTTTAAAATCGTTTAGACTCTCTATTGGCTTATTTTATTATCCGGTGATTTTCAATTTGGGGATCACGTGGCTAAGTGGGTAAGACGTTGACTCGCTAGCCTGGAGGTCGGGTGTTCGATCCCTGCATTGGCCGAGAAAGTTCATCCAGATTTTCCGGCGTGGTTTCCCCTTGTCAGTGATGCAGGACGTAGGTCCTGACAATGACAGCTGTCTAGTCGTTCGGATGGGACGAAAAACCGAGGTCCAGTGTACATATTGGCGTGCACGTAAAAGCTCCCTTGGCAGTTGGAATTCGATATAAGAGTAAGCCGTAGCGCCGTTGCCCGGGCAAAATTTCCCTCATAGCACACTGTATGGCGTATGCCCGTCTTCATTATCCCAGTGAGCAGAACAGTAGGACGTTAAACCCCATTTCATTTCATTTTGATTTTCAATTTATACATTTTCATTTTATTCATTTGTGTTTATAGGCTTACAATTTGGACAGCTGAGGCAATCGAGAACACAGATTCTAAAAACTGTTACATTTGAGGCTATTGCCCTTGGTAGGTTTAAAACCGTTTAGACTTGTGTTTAGTGGCTTGTGTTATTATCTGATTGATTTGACATTTGTACGTTAATATGCATTTGAGTATTTTATTTATTTGTGATTATAGGCTTGGTAAATCTTGTTATCGCGGTGTAATTGATAGTAGTAATTGATATCAATGGTGCTTTATTTGTTTATGTCCCAATTACAAAATATCGTTAAACAAATCGAACTGGGGTGCCTTTATAAAACCCAGATAGTTGAGGCGATGTACCTTGGCATATATAGAACTATTGCCTATAAGTCGGTTTTATGTATTGTTATTAAACAGAATTATGTTTTCTGCATTTTAGTTTAAATCAAACTTTGACCAATACCATATTCTTTGCCGACGATGAAGACATTGGGTGTTTTCGCCAATATTTAATTTTATGTAAACTTCACAATTGTTAGTATAAATATAGCATTTATGAATATCACAAACTGCAATGTAACCATGGACACTCCTCGCAGTGTTTCGTTTGGGTAGACCTAGAGACTTCTCGGGCCATTGGTCTGAAATAATGTAACAAATTGCCCTGTCTTAGCGACTTTGTCGTGTTTTTTTTCTATGAATAATCGCATGGAAGGGCCCCTTTATGACTCGCAACGCTCGACAGACTTAATCGTTGGCACCCACTTTTGAAAAATCATGTATTCGCCCCCGCCATGGCCTGGGCTTGTGGTGTGGGCTTTACGGCGGCGAATAATACAGGACCACGTGTAACGATCATATTGACAATAATATCGATATGGTATTTATTATAATCCTTCTATTATATCCACTGACAATTATGCGCTATTCATACAGCTACTTAACCCCTTAATCCCGTCGGTAGATCGAACACACGTGACTATTGATCCTGATTAACAGGCCACTCAACAATGGTTAATCTACTGCAGTTCGTATCACAGTCACCCGATTGCAGGTCTTCGAAGTATTTTGTAAGCACCGCCGACCGGGATACGATTCGAGCATTCACTTCTGAAATCGTGCGTTGCCTGCTCCACTTGTTTGGTTCATAGCTCACCCGAATTAATAATAGTAAACCGCATTGACTAGGATAGGATTTACAATTCGCCCTTAAAGAAGCTATGTTTGTAACTTGATGAACGTGATCCCTTGACAACGGAGTGATAAGATAGCAGGCGACGAAAGGTTTTGAACGGACGACTTGATATTACTGGTATCATATTACCAACGACACTTGAAATCTGTGCCGGTGAGCAGACGGCAACATTGAAACTGTACAGTCACTGTCGGATATATATTTTATTTGCAACGTAAATTATAAAAGGATCGTGGACCCAAAAACAAAATAAGACCGTCATATTTACTCCGGGCTACTTGTAACAATTGCTGGATATTTTATAATACCGACCTTTCCAGGAATTACTTGGGGATTTATTTGAAGTCAACCAAGATGTCTGGACCATCAAGTTATATGCTTGGCAACACAAAAAGGTAACATTAATAGATTATATTTAATAAAAGTTAACCAGCGAAAACGAAAGACAATCCAATGGGCAGCTTCAATAGTTCGAACAGATGGGTATGAGAATAGAAATTCTCTCGTAAATTTGAATTTGACAAATTGAAAACTAGCCCTAAACGTATCGGATGTCCCAGGGGATACAGCAGGGATTGTGAAGCGTTATTGTTTCAGGCTGATATTTTTCTCCCACCCCCCGCTATAACATAATATTGTCATTTCTTTTAATTTTAACAATTAACGATACATCATGGGAGATTAGATAAAGAGTCGGCAGTTCTCACTATAATAGTTAACAACTAGATAATGTAAAGGAAATTTGCTGAAAATTTCATTTAAATTGATCCACTCTGAACCGAGGTTATAGCGATTGAATTTTCGGCCTAGCCTCGATCATCATTACTAAAGTTGGTACGATAAAGAAACATAGTCTCGATTCCATTTCATGATTAAATTATGAATGGAAGTCGAACAGGAAATCGGAACCTAATCCAATAAACATCGCAGGCTAGCGATGACATCGAGGGTTGATTATAATCTGGATAAGTTAATTAATGTCTAATTAATAATTTAGATAACATTTGAAGCCCAAAGAAAGACCTGCAATAAGCAGATTTAGCTCTTGCATAATGTATGTTTAATGAGTAAAATTTGGTTCGAATCGATCCTATTTGAAAGGGGCTAAGCTAAAATAAATAGTTGTGTTAAACTGAGTTATTTTTAAGGGGATAAAATATAATATACAATGTTTACTCGTTTTAATTTATTTTTAATCTCCATGTTCATTGATTGAAACAAGTTATTCTTTAGAAGCTGACAATGACTTCTTAAAATTTTAAGAAAAAAAAGTACTAGGCATTTTAGACAGCCATAACTTTCTTTAGGAATGTTCGATATGGAATATTGTGCCTTTAAATGGAACGACAGTTTTAATTCTTTTTTATCCAAATGAAAATGGTCTTTACTTATTACTTATAAAGTAATTGTTGTGAACTGCATTGTATCCATCGATCAGATGATTGTATAGATTGACCTATAACAGACATTATATTTAGCTATAAGTTACAATAACAGAACATAAAAGGCATTTATTCGCACAACAATTATACCATGGACGCTTATTGAACTAGAACGATAGACACAGTAATAACATATGTCATAGATATATTCGATCTATTGATAAATCGACACAT